GGGTATTTTACTTAAGCACCCTACACAACAGTGACCTGTTTTAAATTGGAAATATAAATGTGTATTAACCTTTTGGATGGATGAAGTGGATGTCAAACTCGTTTTTGGGTCCTCTGAAAATGGAGTCGAGAGCTCTACACCTGGTTTCTACAACAAAACACACAAATAATGTTAAAATAACTCTGTCATAAATTAACCATCTTCCTAGTTTAACAAGGGTTAAGGCTCATTATATCAAACCTTCTAGAAAGACGTAACACGGCAGTGTGTCTCGGTCTGTACAATATGAGGACATTTTGACACACACACACTACCATTTATTCAAACCATATGAGGACATGACGACCTAACACATATTCAATCTGTCTTCCAGACGTAAAATCTTCTTTTACTCTCAAGTAAAGTTCTGATTCCCACTTTAATGTAAATAGATCAATTTTCCAGTTAAGTAATTGATATACATGCTTCTCCAAGAGGTCACATGTATGAAACGTGTCAAATAAAAGAAATTATAATAGATAATGACAGTTTAAGATTATTCTGAAGTATAAAAGGTGTATTACTCCTCTGAATTGGTGAAACCAAAGTACTTTTACAAAAGTATTCTGAAACCAGTCATAGAAATTGTGACATTTCTAAACTTTTACCCAAATTGATTTATAAAAGTGTATTTTACTTAAGCACAGGACACAACAGAGACATTTATTTGTATTTAATTGGAATTAGAAATGTGTATTAACCTTTTGGATGGATGAAGTGGATGTCCCACTCATTTCTGGTTCCTCTGAAGATGGAGTTGAGACCTTTACACCTGGTTTCTACAACAAAACACACAAATAATGTTAAATTAACTCTGTCATAAACTATTCATCTTCCTAGTTTAACAAGGGTCAAGGCTTATTACATTCAACCTTCTAGAAAGACTTAAACACAGCAGTGTATCTCGGTCTGTACAATATGAGGACATTGTGACACACACACACACACACACACTACCATTCATTCAGACCATATGAGG